TGAAAAAGGAACTTTGCTACCAAGCCGTGCATTTATGACCTTCGCAGGTCTGTAAAGCAAAGGAAAGCTGAAGTAAGATCATAAGCATAGTCACAGTTTCACTTAGCGACTGCTTCGCTTAACAACTGAGTTGCTGGTCCCAATTCTGGTTGCTAAACAAGAGCTACCTGCATACGCCAAACAACTTAGGGAGATGCAGTTGCAAATCACTGGCAGTCTATCTTATCAAAGTCTATGAGCTCCTGCTGCAAAGGAAATTGCTATACCATTCATTGATTAGAAGGGCCATAACTGAATTTTGTACATTTTACAGATTTATTTTCTTGTTCAAACTGGTTAGGAAAACATTAGTTTGGGGTCTTGATCTCATTTGTCTGGCATACTATTAACATTAATAATGTATTTTTTAGAGAGAAAGAAGATGGAAAGTAATGCTGTTCTTCTGGAATCCAAATCCTCACCAATCAACCTTCTGAATGAAATGCACCAGCTGCGTCTGCTAGGCCACCTTTGTGATGTGACTGTGAGCGTAGAATATCAAGGTGTCAGGGCAGAGTTTGTTGCTCACAAAGCTGTGCTGGCAGCCACAAGCAAGTTCTTTAAAGAGGTCTTTCTTAATGAAAAAGGCATGGATGGACCAAGGACCAATGTGTTGCTGAATGAAGTCCAGGTAGCTGACTTTGCATCTTTTCTGGAGTTTGTTTATACTGCCCGGGTAGAGGTGGAAGAAGATCGGGTGCAGCGCATGCTGGAAGTGGCTGAGAAACTGAAATGTTTAGATTTGTCAGAGACCTGCTTTCAGCTAAAGAAACAGATGCTCGAATCAGTGTTGCTGGAGTTACAAAATTTCTCTGAGTCACAGGATACTGACGAGGATGGTGGGGCCCATCCTAGCACTTTACTTGAACCAAAAACAATAACTGAACTGCAAGGGGACGACGTGGACTATTTTACAAATTCTGCACTCAGAAGACCCAGGACTGGAGTGGACCTTGAGTCCCCCACCCTGAAATTAAAGGAGAAGTTGGACAAAAAAAAAGAAGCCCTGAAGGCCCCCTGTGCCAAAATCAGGCGGGCAAGTGGCAGATTGGCTGGCAGAAAAGTGTTTGTAGAGATACCCAAGAAGAAGTACACAAGGCGCCTGCGAGAGCAACAGAAGTTCGCTGAAGCTGTTGTGGAAGAGAGCCGGATTTCCAAAGACCAGGGCATACATGACAAAGGTGGGGAGGAGGAGAAAGATCAAGTGGTGAACAGTGTGAAACTAGAGGAGAAAGGGTGTGATGGTGCTGAGGACCACCGGGAAAAAAACCTGAATAAATTGGAGGAGGATAAAAAGAACCGCAGTGGCAACTTTACTTGCAGTACTTGTGAGCGAGAATTCCTCTATGAGAAGAGCTTTCTGAAACACATCAAGCACAGCCACGGAATTGCAGCTGAAATCATTTACCGTTGCGAAACCTGCGGCCAGACTTTTGCCAACCGGTGCAACCTCAAAAGCCACCAGCGCCACGTCCACAGCAGTGAGCGCCACTTCCCGTGTGAGCTCTGTGGTAAGAAGTTCAAGCGCAAGAAGGACGTCAAGCGGCACATTCTGCAGGTTCATGAGGGTGGTGGGGAGCGTCATCACTGCCTACAATGTGGAAAGGGTTTGAGCTCCAAAACAGCCCTGAGGCTTCATGAAAGGACACACACAGGCGACAAGCCTTATGGGTGCACAGAGTGTGAGGCTAAGTTTTCTCAGCCTTCGGCACTTAAAACACACATGAGGTATGAACAGACGGAACGGGCCTTGTTAGCTAAATCTCTGGGCAGAAAGCTAATGCCCTCCCTGAGGCAGCTTCTTCCTGGCCAAGAAAGTAAAATAGGGTTGGAGCTCCTCTGTAGCAGGTTTAGTAATACATGTTTTCCTTTGAAACTGCAGATCACAGTCATAATCTAAAATGCTCCCGAGCCACCATAATCTACTTTGGAATAAATGTAAGCCTTAGCTAAACACCTGAGAACATTTAGAGTCCTGATTATTAACATGTTCATGTTGTGGGAATGTCAAACATCAAAAAAGGCTTCCAGTGACAGACTGACTTGGGTAAAGTACAATACTGTGCAAAAGTTAAGGAAAATTGTAGCAGGTTGTCATAAGCCTGAGAACCAGTTCATACATCTTGATTAAAGCCTTGTCTAGGTAGTACTTGGAATACTCTCAAGAGTGTTACAGTGGTATGCTCAGACAGCCTTCTCATTCTGGTCCTCTCCAGATGGGGTAGACTGGAACTCCCAGAACTGCCATTCCTTCCCCCACTCCTTTTGACATGATTTTGGAGATAATCAGTGCAGTTGACAGTTACCATATTAAATATTCAGAGAGAAAACATTAAAGAATGTTTGGCTGTGTCCCAAGCAGATATATTATCTCAGTGGAAGTTTAAGGGTCCCGAGTGAACATTTCTAATAACTGCTTTTGGCTAGATTTCTGATGCATGATCTGAAAAGAAACTAGAGTATGTTTCTAATATTACTTCCAGGGAGTAGAAAAATTGAAAAAAAAACCCCATGCTTTCTACTGTCCAGTATCTCTTTAACTTCAAAATGTTGTTCTCCTTCAACCATCATTGGTTTAGGAGGTACTGGGGAGGGATGCCATT